CAAGTTCTCCCTCCCTGCACCCTGGACTCCTCTTCACGAGCCAGGAGGCAACATGGTGGAGCCCTTTCCTTCCAGCAAGTGAGAGGGGAAGAAGAGAATGGGAAAAGTCCTTCCCAAAATGTCTTCCGCTACTTAGAATGTAAGGGACAAATGTCAGCATTTCCTGATGGTGAAAACAAGTTGAGCATCAACTCCCTGGATGTGTGTAGGACGGGTCACGTGATAACCCGTCCAATGGTATGCCAGGATCTAGTGCGAAGAGTCAGATGGACCAGGCTCTGTACCAGCTGAGTGACCAAAGACAACAGCAGTAAGCCAGTAGCGAATGACTGGCAGAATGAATGAATGACTGGCAGAATGAATGAGTGAGTGAATGAATGAATGGAGGAGGAAATAAGCAACAAAGTGTTCCCAAATGTCAGCCATTCTTCCTACCCAAAATTACTAACCACCACTTTAACCATCCCTAAACTCAAAGAACAGGCATTGCCTGTTTTCTTTCCCTAACCCAGCACAGCAGCCCAACAAGGCAGTATGAACAAGAATTCCACAGCTGCTAGACATCATGCCAGGCGTGGGGGCTTTAGAGGAGTGTCTTGAAGGAACTAGAAGAATCTTCCCTCTGCCATCAGGATTGCCATAAAGTATTCATCTTTTTGACTTATGCTGAGTAACTGGAAAAATAAGGAGGAATCACTAAAACAGTAACAGGGCACCTGGGTAAATGCAAGCATATTAATTAGCATTTTCACAAGCTGGTAGTTTCATATCCCAAAGCATGACAACAGGCTGCTATTCTCAAGAAGTGAACTAGGACAGGACAGATGAGTCCCTCGAGGCTTACTGAGGAAAGGTACTGAGCTCCTGGGTCAGGGATGGAAATTCCCAGCAGGCAACCAGAGGACACAGGAAGAAGCAGCTGTAGGAGCCTTGCCAACCTGGAATGCCTCCACACCATGGCCACAGCCCCTCACTGGGCTTCCTCACAAAGCCATCTCATAGACAAGCCCACAGCGCCATGCCCAGAGTCCCTCACAGAACTCTGATCTGTGCTCCTCCTCACAGAGCACCCCACACACTCAGCCCCATCTCACAGGGTCTCCCCACAGCACTGTCTTAGCAACTAGCATCAGATCACAAATCCCTGATGAGCACAGGGCTCATACATAGAATCTCAGTACCAAGGAGGCTAAGGCAGGAGAATACCATGAGTTCAAAGGCAACCTAGCTATAGAGTGAGACCATCTTAAAAAATAAGGAAGGAAAAAAGGAAAGAAGGAAGAGAGGGAAGGAGGGAAGAGAGGGAGGGAGGGAGGGAGAGAGGGAGGGAGAGAGGGAGGAAGGGAGGGAGAGAGGGAAGAAGGGATGGAGGGAGGGAGGGGGGGGGGGGGGGGGGGAGGGAGGGAGGGAGGGAGGGACAAGGTCCCTACCTGGTATCACCAGCCCAATTCCCAGCACTACTTGTGGGTTCTCACACCTGCGTCCATCTCTTACTCTACACACACTTGGTTACATTTAGACCCTATCCAAAGGTCTATCTTATGGCTAGAACCTGCCAGACAGATTCTTCTTATCTGGTTTCTGGTTACAACACCTCTAGCTGAAGACTTTGCTGTAAGAAAGCATGCTGACTTCACAGACACTCTGCTCCTGCCTCAGCAGCCTCCTATGTTGCCCCTGACTTTGTCGAAAATATCCTCCTGGTATCTCTATCATTCTTCTAAAACAGTGTGTGATTCAACAATTCAACAAAGCTTTTACAGACTGACTCAGGACTCTGCAGCACCATGCTAGCCTGAGAGAAAGAAGGTGACGTTTTCACTTTGTAACCAGCAGGACACAACACTGTGCAGAGTAGAAGGCTCTTAGTTGGGTTGGTGAAATCCTCCTTTCTCCAGGTTCTCAGTCAATCACCTGGATTCCAATTAGCGATGCAGGCAAGAGAGAAATCTCAATTCTTTCAGCTACAAATGGCCTCCAACACCAAACTGTTACAGCCATGTACACAGGACAACAATCTATAGGTTACCAAAATACTTAAGATGACGGGGAGGGGAACAAAACCAGGTATGAGCAGACACTAGAGACAAAATGAGTGACTATTCCTGCTTTCTCTCTCTTGACCACATCAGTAGACTGGTTGTTACTGGCTTCCTACAGAGTGAACAAGAACTACAAAGTAAATTCCCTCGTCTGTTGCTCATTTGCCTCTGTCTAAAATGGAAAAGTAAACAAAATAACACCACAAATCTTTGTTGTTTGCTATAAGGCTAATAACTGGCCCTCAGCTACTTGAGACAAAGTTGCAATCAGTTATGCAACAAGTTCCCTAAATGACTTGAAATGCTTGGCTCACAAAGAGCACAAAACAGACGGAAGAGGAAAGGCTCTAATTATAAACAATAATTCCTCGATAAGACAGTGCCAATAATTGACTAACATTGATCCAAGAAATGAATTCAGATTTTGGCAAAAAAAGAAAACAAACTAAGGAGGAGGTCTCAACAAGTCCTGAATGTGTCTCTGTTCACCACCAGAAAAACGGAAGGAAAAGGAAGGGAGAGGAGGGAAGGGGAGGGGAGGGGAGGAGAGGGGAGGGAATACATGAAATGAAGTATCTGTTACTGCCGAATGTAAGTAGAAAATCCATCTAGAAATGTCTTAAATAATTTAAACATGTAATATCTCTTTAAGCATGAAGTCTGGAGACAGATGACAGAAACTCAACACTGAACACATGTTTGGGATTCTCATGAACATAGAATGGCTTCAAGAACTCCAAATAGCTATCCTCACTGACAGCACCCAGATGGGGGAAAGGACAGGCTAAACTGTTTCTTTGTTTGTTTGTTTATTTATTGATCATAATGCAGTTTCTTGTCAAGGAGGACTTTATTTTTTCTAGAAGCTATCTCTTTCCTTTATAGTTCAATGGCCAGAAGCAACTGTCATGAGGTCCTTAAATCTTATAGGGATATAAGGTAATTGCAGATTACTGCCCAATACCAGTCATTACTGACCTGTCAAATGAGCCCCAGTGTGTTTGAAAGCAGGAGCGGAAGCTATACTTAGCCTACCATTATATGTAGCACTCAGAAATCAGTGGATGTAAGCCATGTGTGATGGGTACTCTTGTTTGCCAACTTGCCTAGATCTAGAATTAACTAAAACCCTTGTGGAAACAACTACTGAGTTCTTGGACCTTACACTGGCAGGCAGCCATTGTTGAACTACCTGGACCACAGCCCATATGCCATTCTAATAAACCCCTTTAGATAGATAGATAGATAGATAGATAGATAGATAGATAGATAGATAGATAGATAGATACTGACTGATTCATTCTGAGTTTTATTCCTCTAGAGGATCCTGATTAATATGCCAAGTATATGCTTCAAATTCACAGAGAAAGTTCAAAAGGCAAAGAGGGGTCCTACCCTGCAACTGCAGGAGCCAAGCAGGAAATGTGCCTGAGCAATGACCAGTGCAGGCTGAAGAGAAGCCACTGAGCACTGCGGTGTGCGGCCCATCAGAAGCCTCTAGGTCTACACTAACTTACGGTCATATGACTCCAAATTCCAGCCACATACAGCAGGCTCAGGAGTAACACAGATTCCTTCTCTAATCTCTACACCAATACAGCGTCATGAAGCTCTATGACCAACTTCAGCTCCTACAGAAATCCAGATAACTTACTCTCGTACGGTGTGCCAGGTGCTGCTCACAGTGAGATGTCTTACCTCATTTCGATTTCTAAAATAAAACCCTACACCAGGCATGGTGGCACTTGGGAGGCAGGGGCAGGTAAATCATTGTGCATTTGAAACCAGCCTGGTCTACATAGTGAGTTCTAGGGTAGCCAGAGCTACAATGAGACCTTGTTTCTAATTAATTGATTAATTAATTAAGATAAAACCCTATGCATTCGGTTCCATAAGTGCTCTCGTCAACTGTCACTGAGCCTTACAGAGGAAAATGAGGTAGAAAACTCCCAAATGGTAAGGCAGGACACCATGCACACTCAGGACTCTACACAACATGACGACTGCTGGGGGTCATGGCTTTCCTGCCTCCACTGCTCTGTCATCACTGCGACAGAGGCTGCAGCCTCTCAGTACAGGTTAGTGATCAACTAGGTTCCAAATTGGCAACCACATTCACCTGCCTCTTCCAGGCCACACCCAGAGTTCCCCACAGAACACATCAAGGAGTGGTCCTGAGGCTTAGGGCTCTGCCAGCTACTTGACAGAATACAGTAACAATGGCAGAACACTGGGGCCTCTAACAGTCCGGCCTCGAATGCAGGGAATGCTTTTCTCAACAATGCACCTTCTGAGCATGGAAGAGATACCGTTGGACACAAAGCACATCGTTTTCCAACACCCATGTAGCATGCTTGATGAGAAAATCCTGGAGCACTTGTGAGTGCAAAGCTGCAGAGAACACACCTTGGCCTTTCCGAGCACACTGTCCCACCGTGTCCCAAACGCAAATGATGAGAGCACTGTGAGGTGGCTGTTCTTGAAGCAACGTCTTCCTGTTGCCACTCAGTGTCTGCTTTACCCATAAAGCCGCTTCCTGTGTTTATCTTTGAAACCTCGGCACTTGGCACATGAGCAGACAAAGGTGAACAGCACATGCAGGGTAACGGACTACACACAGTAAGGTGGCATCGCTCCAACACGGGTTCTGTGAGGTACACCAGCGGCGTGAGGGAACAGCTCTGATAAAGTCTCTTCTATAGTTCTACTTAGCTTTAATGTGTGAGTTTTATAATAAACATCCAATTCACATCCATCTTCCACACCTATGCAAAATGTCAGATAAAATTCTAAGAATGTAGGAAAACTAAACCACAGAGGGCCAGGCTTGACTGTGCTTTTCTTTATATATTTCATTGCCTCATATTTCTATGGCCATTATCCTGTTATTTATATTTGAAATAGCATTAGGAAAAAAACTCCTGGAACTTTCTCTCCAAATAATCTCTCTCATCTTACCAGCATTCATATCTTTAAACTTCTGCTTGAGCTCCGTAGGGGTGAGACGATACTGATCAAGACCGTCGTTCCAGTAAATCCGGTCCAGGACTTGAAGATCTCCTCCAATCAGCCAATCCCCTTGTTCCAGAACCATCTAACAGGAAACAATAGGAAATCTTTGGCTACAGTAGAAATAAGAACATGACTGTTATGCAAGCTAAGCACAGCTTCCGAAAGCTGGTCTCCATCTTAAAGGCCAAGCTAGGCTTAGGAACGCCACGGGAATTAAAGACGCTGAAGAAATAGAATGTTGTAATTTCTTAAAATACTTGTGACATAATGTTTGGATGGATTTCTGAAAAGCAACAAAAAAAAAAAGTGAATGACTATTAACTTTCTCAGTTAAAAAAAAAAAGTTGTTTTTTTTTTTAAAAAAAAAAAAGCATTTTTTTTTTCTCACTGTTACTAGGCGCTGGTTGACAGTGATGTGTAACCTATGGGCATCCGTCTTGTGTGTCTTCCTATCTCAAACATTGGACACTAATGATCACTGACAATCAAGTGCATGCAAATCTGTCAAGCTCACAGACAAATTCGTGCATAATTCCTCGAGTTCTATCTCCCCTCACTCACCTGGCCCTGCATCTGGAAGTCTGAGCCCACAGGATCCACACTTAGAGGACTCAGCTGAACTGCCCTTGCCTACACTGCACTGCCTGACGCCTACATGCACTTCGCTTCTTCTAAAGCTCAGAGTCTACTTTAAAACACTAAACAGTGGGCAGATATTTGCCTTCCGTGATGACATGTCCACATCAGTGAACAAATGAGGAATTTTGGGGAGATGAAGCATGTGTCCGATTTTCTACAAGAATACAATGTTAAAGGGTAAAAACTATTAAGCTGCCCTGGTATAGGCTCCCACTGCAGCCTGCCTTCAAATCTTCCTTGTGAGAACACAACTACTATCTCTCCCTACCAGCTAAGCAGTGGAGGTGTATGCCTTTAATTTCAGTGCTCAGAAGGTAGAGGCAGGTGGATCTCTGTGAGTTCAAGGCCAGCCTGTCTACAGAGTGAGTTACAAGACAGCTAGGGCTACACAGAAAAACCCTGTCTAGAAAAAAAAAACAAAACAAACAACAAAAATCTTTCCCTACCACTAGACCACAAGAGAACACAGTAAGCATTTTAACTGTGTGTATTTTAACTGTGTGTAAACATTTTAACACACTGGTATATACACAGAGCTAAGCACAGGTTTAGCATGCTAAGGGCTCTGGATTTAATCCCCAGCATCAAGGGTTTTAAAAGACTACAAAGAGTCACTGAGTAAATATTTACATGAACCTAAATGACAAGACCATCTGCTCATAACACTCATCTAAGATCCAGTCTCAATTCTGCAAAACTTCACACCCCAGAGGAACAATTAACACACAGACAATGGCCACATTTCAACACAAACGTTACTGTCAGATGAGACCTTGATGTAGGGGTGGTTCTTGCATGTTGTTCCCCACTGTCTGGCACAACGCTCCTCTTTCCGGTGCTCAAAAAATTCAGGATTCCGGAGGATAGCCACACGGCGGCCCTCATAGAGCAGGGCGAACGCTGTGCAGCCGTCCAGCCTCTCTTTGTCCTCGTGCGTGGCTGTCAGAACTATCGGCACTGATAAGTTGATGACACCTCCTGCAGGATACACACGTGCACAGCTCACTCATTGGGTCTTAGTACAGTCACCTTGTCTTCAATGACACAACTCAAAGAACAACACCAGTTTTTCTTTTTTAAGAATCAGCGTCAATGACATATCTCAGCAATTAAGGGCACTTGCCACCAAACCGGGCAGAGCTCTGTCCCTGGAACCCACATGGTAGAAGGAATGAACTGACAGGCACAGGTTGTCTTCTGTTCCCACCACATGTCTGAGGCATGAACAACTGCAGATGCACAGATCAACACACACACAGTTAATTATGAATTGTGTAATGTAGCAAATGTTCAAGAACTACTGCACTGTCACCGAGTACCCAGCACTAACCAGTCAGAAGAGCACTAATTTCAGAAAGTTAAAAGAGAGAAGAAAAGGAGAAAGAAGAGAAAAGGAGGAAATGAGGGAGAAGATGGAGGAGGGAAAGGGGGACAGGGAAAGAAGGAAGGGAGCGAGGAGGAAGTAGGGGAGGAGACATGAAGGAGGAGGGAATGGTAGAGGAGAAAGAATAAAAGAAAACAGCAAAGCTGGGGTGTGGTGGTACAGGCCTTTTATCCCAGCACTGGGAAGGCAGAGGCAAGTGGATCTCTGTGAGTTCAAGGCAAGCCTGGTCTACAGAGTGGGGGCCAGCCAGGGCTACATTGAGAAATGCTGTCAAAAAAAAAAAAAAAAAAAAAAACAGCAAAAAGAACCAATACTATGTCATATACCAATTCTTACAAGTCATCCAACTGTCCTTGAGAAAAAAAATTCATACAGAATTATAAATGTAAAAGAAGCAATTTACAAAGGAAGGAAGCATCAAGTGGCTGTCACTATCAAAAATAATTTGTACATCCCATTAAATGAATGAGACCAGAAACTATTTTTTGACCTTTCCAAGAAAAACTTAGTCTTTATTGTACAGATTTAAATAACTGTATGTATCCCTGAGTATACTTACATGACAGAGATACCCACATTTACTTCCTTCTTAATTACTTACTGACTTAGTGTGTGTGTTGTGTGCATGTGAGTAGGTGAATGCTTAACCCCAGGGTGGTCTCTGTGTGTCCTCCTCTATCGCTCTCCACCTTGTTCCCTTGAGACACAGTCTCTCACTGAACTGGCATTTCAGGAGAGCTGGCTGGCCACCACGCTCCCAGGATCTGTCTCTTTCCACTCCGTGATCCTGAGATCACAGGCACACACAGCCACGCCCAGCTTTTACAAGGTGGTAGCAATCTGGACTCAGGTCCCTGCTTTCACAGTGAGTGCAGAGCCACTTACCCAGCCCTGCCCTTTTTAATTACATTCTTAATACAGTCAGAGTCAAACCAATGTCAGCTGTCACTGGCCAAGAAACAAAAGCAGTAATCAGTGGCTCCAATGAATCTTAACTGTGTTGCCAGTGAGCCCAAGGCACAGGCTCCATTCCCAGCCTGTGAGGCTGTGTATGTTTGGTTTTACTTTAGTTTTTTTTGTTGTTGTTTGTTTTGTTTTGTTTATGACTTTTAAGACAGAGTCTCTTTACTAAGCCCTGAAGTCCTGGAACTGGCTGTATATATAAGGTTAGCTTCAAACTCACAGAAATCCACTTTTCTTGGCCTATGCTAGGATTAAAGGTATGTGACGTGTCCCCGTGTTCATCTGTGCATGTGTATGTGTGTGTGTGTGTGTGTTCAAGTCACTATAACATATGATAAAATGTACTGTTAGATTCCTATTTGAATTCATATATTGAAGTAATTATACTGTGTAACAAAAATCATGGACAAAAAATATTTGGACAAAAGTTGTCAGCTGTGAATGAATCTATATGCACTGCTAAAATTACTAGGAATTATAAAATTCCTAAAAATTATGAAATTACTAGGAATATCGGAGAGCAATGGTTCGGGATGTGTGCCCTGAGGGGGCAGCTCACCACGGTGGGCAGGCTGGCCTGGCAAAAGGAAACAATGTGCTTTCATGATTCACTTTCTGACCTGATCACCCACTGTCCTTCTTCCCCACAGTGAATAACACTCACGGGAAGGGAAAGCGGAAATGAGATCCCTTAAAAAATGTTCAGAACGAAAATAGCTTAGTCTTCATGACTACTCTACTGAGAGAGAGGTCATGACTACCTTCATGAAACGTGACAAACACCTGAAAGCCTGCCGCACCCAACTTCCTCTGCACACAACTCAACTTTAGATGAGGACCGTCTTACCATCCAGAAGACAATCGAAATGAAGGCACTGCAAGTATTCCCTCTCTCTCATGAAGCCGTTCAGAGGAGTTGCCCAACCTTCTGCCAAAACCTGCACCCACTGCATATCCACCTAGTAAATTAGAAAACTAATTAGTAATTAGTAAATTAGTAAATTAGAAAAATTAGTAAAGTAATGGAAACAGACATATCACTAATGGTTGTGGGTCCTACAGATGGAAGAATAAGAACTCTGGGAGAAGGAGCTCTAGCATGTCTATACCACATCAACACACACACACACACACACACACTTCTACAAGGGACAGCCTCGCCTAAGCCAGAGGATCTCAAACATCAGCGTGTGTCAGACAGCTTCTGAGACAGGTGTGACAACACAGACTGCTAGATGGGCTTGGGAGTGCAAACACGGAGAGCCAGGCAGGTCTCTGTGATTTTAAGTGCAGCCTGGTGTATACGGCAAGTTTCTGGTCAGTCAGGCTATATGGTAAGAGCCCGTTTCAAAGCAAACAAACAAACACAGACTGGATCACATTTAATTTCCAAGGCAAGAGAAATTTTACAATTCTGCGAAGTTCCCAGAACTGCAGACAGTGAAGATCTGGAAACTCCATATATATAGTCACTATCCTAAATCAAAAAAATACTTAAACAAAATATTTACCCAAAAGTCTCTTTCCCAGTGCCTTCATCTTACAAAGATCATTACTGCTTTAACCTCTGGGTTTGTGGTACATCCTCTCAGAACACTAAAGAACTCGTTAACTCCATATGATAGTCAGCAATGGATCCCAAATGAGAGAAGGCTGAGCACATGGCCAATGGTGTGCAATAAAATGGAGTCTCACATTTACTCCCAAAGCATGATGGCCAGTGTGTGCAAGGAGACACAAGGAATTATACAGCCTCAAGTCATAGGAGAAACTGTTTGTGGAGACTATTTTTCCACTTTCAAGTTCTCTAAAGCCTATGACAGTGGTTATTGCTTGTCTGAACTCTAGCTGGCATCTGTTAGGAGCTAAATGCCTGTATTCCTGCAAATGTCTTATGTTGAAGCCTTAGCCTTCAATGACCAAAGAGTGAGGAAGTGTAGACAGGTAGCAAGTCTTATGGGTACTGTAAACAGAACAGATCTGTGAATTCCTGGACTGAAGGAAGTTTGCATTAGGCTTCTGCAGTCCAATACACCCGCAGATAGATCTCTCCTTCCCTCTGTCTATACAAACTCTGCTTCCTCCACCACAGCTGGCTGGAATAGTTCTGCCTTACACCATCATCTCTGACACTCATCTGAGACTCAACCACACAAAGCCCATCAAGATGGACCCCTACCAAAGATCTGAACACCATGGAGGAGTGAGTCTCTGTCCAGGCTAAGTTCAGTTCTCCATCCTCAGTACTGAGAGGCGACACTTCCTTAAATATTCTAGAATCTTGCTATTAAAAAAGAAGGGCTGAAGGAAAAGCCAATTGCTACTCCATTCTTATTCCTTACCTCTGTGGGCTTTTCCTTGTTTTTTCTTTTATATCTGTTTTTAAAATATGTAGAAATTATACAACTTAAAGTTTCCTGAGATGTGAGCCTGTCACAGTTTCCTCTCCCACCCTGTCCAGTGTTTTCCAGCAGTAGTTATTTAAGAAAGGCACCTAATGATAGCATTAGGCAGAGATGTACAACAGAACCATTCCTAATGTGTCCATTTTTCTTAATATAAGGGAGAGTCAAGTGTTGGACAGGAAATTGGGAAACATGTTTTAAAAGAGTAAAAGTTCATTTTAATTATTATGGATTAGCATTTCTTAATGCTTTAGAAACAATCCTTTCTCTTAGGCCTCCAAATCTCACATAATCTTTGTCCTTTGATATTTCAAACTAAACAAATGTGACTAAAGGCAAATCAAAGTCACGGTAATGTGGGAATACTGTACCCCATTAAACACACTGCCCATCCTTAGGAACTGTGATATACACCACAACACCCTAACCCTGCAACTGCTACCCTGGCTTCAAACACACTGCTAAGCCCCACATCCATCACACTAACAGCTCTGTGGAAGGTTGCATTGCTTGCTTTGAAAAGCAGCAGAGAACTTACTTTATTGATTTTCAGGGCTGGTAAGGATTCTGCATCAGTTTTGGCCAAGTGCAGTTTATTCTCTGGAACATACAGCTCCTTCACCTCATAGGAAGCATCCACAGGGACGATGTCCTGCAGCAGCAACAAGGGGCAATTAGACATTTCATCCAACAGTGCAGGTAAGAGACCAAGAAAAATGAGCATCTCCAATGGAAAAGAAGCTTTAGGGCCACGTTCCCTCTTCAACCTCCCTAATATTAGTTGGTCTACCCCCAAGTAACACCCTCACTCAAGAGGTCAGCATCAGGTTCCATTACCTAGTGGGAAGGAATAAATTCCTAGAATCTACTCTGTGTCAGAACAGGCAACTGTAACTAGAGCTGATCTGAGATACAATGCAGCAAAGATTTCAAACACAAAACAACCATATAAGACGTCATTTCATTCCATTTTTCCATGTGTACCTTTGTCCTTAGTGTCACTAAAACACCATTTTATTCATAAAATTAATATTCCAGAATGTGTCAAATCCCTCTCGGAATCATTGAAAACTAGTACTTTTTGATCCCGCATGAAATAGTCTGGACTTACTCAAAGTTCTAAGTACCCACCTATGACACAGAGCCAGGCTTTCTTCCTGCTCATCCTCCATGAACTATGCATGTAAGCACAGAGCAGGAGATCTATGCATGTAAGCACAGAGCAGGAGAAGTGTTTGTTCGCAGGCACATAGAGTATGTGCATACTACAACATAACCTCAGATACTGCTACCAGGAGATCTTTTACAAGGCTTGCTCCCAACACATTACTGTCCTCTAAAGAATTCTAAATAGGTTTGACCACTTCAACTCTTTAATACCAAGTCTGTCAGGGCATCTCTATTAGCACACAAGACAGAACCAACTGTGGGCTTTTCATACATGTACCCAAGCAATGCTGTGTTATTCAAAAGAAAGCAATTCTCGGGAGAACTAGAGGACACAGACATCACCTAGGAAAAAGGTTCTGAAAAAAACAACAAACAAACAAACAGAAGTCTGTTCTCCAAAATAAGCAAAGAAGACACAAGAAAATCAAAACCTGTATTCATCAGTTCAAAGAAGGTTGTTTAAATGGACATCCTTTCCAAAGCAACTTACAGAGCCAATACAGTCCCTAGAGCACCACTGACATGCTTGACAGAGGTAGGAAAACAAACCTAAAACCATCACCAGCAGCCAGAGAGAAAGCCTCACTGAAGATTCACAGACACCAAGTAATCCTATGAAGATGCTTGGAATCACACTGTCCCTACTACAAGGAACAGATACACCGCACAGGATGGTACTAAGCCCTGGTGAGGAGGACCGGGCAGGGACTTATACCCATGGCCAGTGAGAACACAGAGGCACAGAACCTATGATGTCAGCACACATCAAGCCAGGGCAAGAGATGGAGGGGATTCCCTTACAACTGACCGAATGAAAGAAGTCAGCCTGCAAAGGCATGATGTATAACTATACAGCATCAATGTTATCAGGAAGCTAGCACTTCTATTAAAAGAAGTGTGTTCTTTTTTAAAGCAGAAAGCAACAATCATCAAAATAACTCAAACCAAAATATTAACGAAAGAATCAGATTCTCTTTGTGGGCATATGTATGTGTGTGCATGTTAATGCGTGTATGTATGTGTGAGAGTATACATGAAAACCAGAGACCAACATCAAGTGTCTTCCTCAGCCACTCTTCATCTTGTATGTGTGTGTGTGTGTGTGTGCACACGTGTGTGCGTGTGCGTGTGTGTGTCTATGTGAGTGTGCTGAGGTCCACACTGCATATCTTCTATCACTCCCACCTTATTTTCTGAGACAGGATCTCTCACTGAACAGGAAGCTCACCATTCTGACTAGACTGCCTGTGAGATACCACCCAAGACCCTTCTGTTTCTGCTTCCGGAGTCTTAGCATTACAGGCCTGTGTTCTTGTGCCTGGTTTTTTATGTAGGAGCTGGAGGTCTACACCTAGATCTTCATGCTTGAGTAGCAAGCACTTTTCCAACAGCCCGAGAATCAACACTTTATGGACCTACCCTGCTTATACAGCACATGCCACACAGCACCTCAGCTAATGGGGGACTGGTGTATGACAGCAGTGCCATAAGTATCTGTAGCCTAGTGACTGTACAGCCACAAAACCACTTCAACACATTTCTCAGAGCACGACTCATCTAAGGGATGAGCTCAAAGTGGCACCTGACTGTATTTGGCTCTACAGCAAAAGAAAATAACGATAACAATAATAATGATAATAATAACAGTGACCCTCTAAAGTGGAAAGTTCTGGTTTCTTTAACAACTCAGTTGTATCACATGATGTTTTCTGGAAGCTGTCTTCTGAGAGGGCATGTGTTGTTGTGCTGAAAACAGATACTTGAAAGGTCACAGGATGGTTAGAAAGAATATAAACGGAAGCCCACAGACAGTGAGAGGACGCTCTTTCATTGCTACACCTTGCAATGCTTCACTGGTCTTTACTAGTCTTCATTGGTTTCCACTTCAGAGAAAAACACTCCAAAGAACTTCTAGTGGTATTCCAGCTGATTCTGGCTGCTTCCTCTGACTCTTGCCTGTTTGGTGGAGCCTTGCCCTTTCTGCTAGATTGTGCCACCGCCACTGATTCCTACTGATTCGTGTTTGGCATTTGCTATTGAACTGGACTGCTGGTATCCTGACAGCAAAGAGTGGAATTTCCCAAAGGAACTACTCGTCACAGGTCCACCACACCCATTTCATATCAACCTTCTTTCTCCCCTACCTCTGGTCAGTGGGTTAGAAGGGAGGTTGAAGCATTTAAAAACCCTAAAGTAGGTTTTAAAAAATCTAAGCCTACAACCCTCCCTGCGCCCAGGGATGGGAGGCAGAGGTGGGGAGCTGGAAGCCCTGTGAGTCCATACGGTATAAAGATACCAGGACCAGCTGCAGGCAGGCTGACCTACTTTATTTGGGGTGATTCGAGGCTTATGTAACTTTGGGGATGGAGGTCAGAATGTCCGGGACAGGCAAAGGTCATTTGGCTGAAGACTATTGGTGGTACCTAAATGCCTCATTAGCATGGGGAAGCATTCCCGGAATCTCAGGTGCTGGCTGAATGAGTTCTTACTGGGAGAAAGGAAGGTGAACCTGTAATCTTAACCAAGGCTACAATGGCATTCTGCAGGGAGAGACCGGCAAGAGTAGTTGAACTCCCCAAACAAGGTCAAAAAGGTCAAGGGAAGCCCTTCCAATGAAGGGAGTCCTCCATATTGCACTGAGCTCCGAAGGCTACCTGGGTAATGGAGGACTTTGACCTTAATATTATATATATATATATATATATATATTCATCATCATTATTCTATCTATGCTAAAAGAGCACATGAAGACAGGGTGTACCAGTTTAAGCAATCCCTATGGGGTATGAGAATCTAGAGAGTATTAGTGGCTTACAGCATTATCTTCTCAGATACTCTGCTCTTACAATGGTACAAGAGAGGGAAACACAATCCAGTTCAATCAAGTGACAAAACCTGACTCCTCCTATGGTTATATTCAAGGAAGCCTCTGACCCTCTCATAATAAACCCAAGACTAAGACTACACATACAGGAAAAGAAGTAACAAAATCTGAAACCACAGCCAGCTACAACAGCCAGCCCGGCCCACAGCACCACTCCTGGAACACAGCAGCATTTCTCAGAGGCTCCTGTCCCTCGGGCATCCCACTAATCAAGGAGGAAAGCAGGAAGCATGTGTGTGAGGCACAAACCGCCCAGCTACTCTCCATAAATCTCTCAGACTTTCCATATTTTCCAGTAGAAAGTTATCATTTGTATTTACTGAGGAGGAATATTATATCAGGTCATTAAAGAAAAAAAAAAGTGAGCCAAGCCTGCCCAGCTCATTCAGCTGCGTCTAGGGTGACTTGGTGGATTTCACATGCAACCATACACTCATAAGGTGAGCTACTTCTGACAATCAAGTGAGCATTTGGGGGTGGGGAGAAGCTTCGAGTCAGCAGTTTATATGGAACGCCTGACTTCAAGAATATACCTAAGAAGGGAACTCACATACAACAGGAAAGAAAAAGATGCCTCTTTAAAGTCAGATAAGCAGCGTAGCCACTGCTCTTCATGTGGACTTTCAGTGTGAAGAGTAGATGGTAGGAGTTGGGAATAGGCACAGTGAAACACCCTAAACCCTTCTGTGTCATCTGCCTATTACACTGTTTAACTGTTCTCTTCCTTGGGTGCACTGCAGGGTGAATGGCCTGTTGGCAATCTCAACCAAGCCTGTGAAAGTCCAGAAACCCCTGTCCCAGAGGGACAGCAGGACACACCTCAATCAGCTAAACACACTCCACATGTTCAGTTGGATACACAAGCCCCCAAAGTCACATTAAGTCATACATATTCTTGGCAGCTGCAACGTAAAGACCAACATCCTCTACGCTTGGAAATAAACGCTGAAAGTATCAATTACATAAAAGGCCAGGTACTCATTAGGCTTCTGTAAGGAAAACTACAGTAAGGTTCACAGAAAGGACACAGAAGTCAGTAAACTAGTCACGAAATTCAAGGGACACATGTTCAAACCAAAAGGAGATGGATGGTAGCAGGAAACTATACGTCAGTTGTTCCTGATGCTCTTACTGCTACTGTAGTGATAGAAGAGAAAATGATATGAACATTCTTTACCTAACAATCTGTGATCTGTGATCTGTGCTCCAATTCTAAATGCACAGCCTTGGGCGGGCTTCCTCACCTCACAGCCTGGTGCCTCTAGTCCTCGACCACTTAAAAAGGATCCAGACACACACTCTCCAGGGCTGTTGTAAGAACGAAGTGGCACGGTGCCTGAACAGAGAGGCTAACCTTTACAGGGATCCACACTGCCCGACGAGAGGCTTCACATGGACTTGTTCACTTGTCCTGATTCCTACCTATGAAAGCATGAGAAACTATCACTGTCTGTCTGTTCCTCTACAAGTGAGGGCTCTATGGCCAGAGACATTAGCAAATGCCCACTGTATTCTTTGCAGTGCAGTGCACTTAGCACGCCAGTAATAAATGATGATGGTTTAATACTCTCTGTGCTTGCTACATGCTGGGGTCCAGC